GCAGGGAATTGGTAAGTGCAGCTTTGTCATTGCAAACCTGCATGCTCCATGGTGACATTCCTGGTAGTCTCAGAGAAGACACAGCATTTGAGCCAGAAATAAAGCAAAATACTCTTAAATGCCTCTTTGAGACAAAAAGAGCTACATGGTAAAGAATGAAAACTAGAAGTTGATTTTTTGGTTGTTTTTTAAATTTTTTTTATTAAATTAGTCAGATATGCTGGGCATTCAACACGCACAATGCAGGACATCAAAATAGGACTCTTGATAAGATAGCATGATTACTTACTTTTGTTCCAAGAGATGTACTGAAATTGGATTTTAATGAGTATAACTTTTTTTTTGCTGCTTTCTCAATTAAAGCACATGAACCAGCTTAGTTTCCTGAAGAAGGTGCTCAATGTGGTAAAGTTGTCTAGTGTGTTTCTCTCTTGATTGTTGTGATCAGATGGCATTTAGTTGCAAGGATGATCTGGGAAAATACTATTTTAAGAGTTGTCATTTACCTGAGTACGGTTCAAATGCGGGTAAATCATGATGCAGCTTGGGTCAAAGCTGGGGAACCAGTAACTGAAGGCACTCAACTATGCACTAGATATCTGTAAGTTCCTATTTTGTCCTCTGTTTTTGGAGGACAGATTTTGTAGCTTCAAACACAGGTAATTAGGAGTTATCATGATGCATTTGATCCACATAAAAGAGAATATTTGTGCCTCATTGGAGTAGGGCACTCTTCAAATCTATATTTAAAAGATTTTTTGTATTCATTCCTCTTCTTCTTAAGAAGCCAGAGAACAAACATGATCACTTGAGCAGGTGGGCCGATTCAAGTGATACTGGCCACTCCTATTCATTTACCTGTGATCCAGTGCAAAAAACACTTAGTCCTAGTTTCTTCTTCTTGATGTAGTTTCCTGTTAGAGCTTCTACTCAGTTGATACATCTCTGCTATGAACCTGTATTTAAGCCTCTCAGCAAAGATAGAAGTGTCTTGCTTTATCCCCCCTCCTGGCAGTTGCTTATCTTCCTTCATGGAGAAGGAAGGAAAATCAAGTCTCCTAGCGTACTTGGAAAATCACAATCAGAATCTGAAAATTATCTCAGTAATTGGCATAGAAAGAAAATAATCTCTGGTTATTGCTGTGACCTCTTTATGGATTTCAGTTAAAAAATGAGGAACCAGAGAACATTAGCAGAAGTATGCAACACTATCTGATATTAACCTCTACTGCTGGAAGACATGATCTTACCGTGAGAGAAGATTAATCAATCCTTTTAGGGTTAAATTAAATTGATTTAGGATTTTCAGCTGGATATATTTCAGGCGTAGCAGTGAACTGGGAGGCTTTTACATTTTTGTCCCCTTCTCTCAGCCAAGTCCTCATGTTCTGGTTCAGGGTTGCCAGCTAAAAGAAGATTGCACGAGGCCCAGTGAGAAAGAAATCAGCCTGGCTGCAGGCCATTTTGTACTGTCCTGGTTCCTGAGGCAGTGAGATTATGGGCCAAATAATTTTGGCAGCTAGCTTCCATCCATGCTGGCTTCCCCAGTAGTGTTCCCCGAGATGTGAACCTAGTGACACAGTGGGATGTGTGTGTGTGAAAATACCACGTCTAAGATAAAATGTTAATGTGTTGTGGGGGCAGTTGTGCCTGGTTACCAAGTCATGGTGGAAGAGGAACTGGAGTAGGCAGCTTTCATGTGATGCTGAACAGTCCATCGGAAAGACTGGGCACCGTGGCTCTGGCTTTCAGAATGAATAAACCGTAGACAGTGACTTAGTTATATCCTCCCAAAGAATTTATCTCAAACATTCAGTCAAAATAAAGAGCTCTTTCCCACCTAGTGTTTTCAAGAGAATTGAGATGTAAATTTAATTTGGTATATATATAATTTTTTTTAATAAGATAGAAATTACAGAAGAGTCACTGTTGTGCACCTGGATGTTTGAGACCAGCCAGCAGTCACACATCTAGGCTGACCCAGGCCAACAGTACAGCAGGAAAGGGTAAAGCAATGTTGCATCTGCAAGGAAAGGAGGGCACACAGGGCCCTCTGGAGGCTCTGTATGTTCCCAAGGGAAAAATATGTAATGCCTTGTTTGACTTTCTAACTTCACCTACTGTCTGTTATCTCTTAAAAATTGTAGAGCTGAGCACTTGCAGTTCCAGGCCACTCTGCTTCAACCCAGTGACAATGTAAAGATTATTTTCTGGCACTTGAAACATTTTGCTGGTCAGATATGTAATGCCTAGGTAAATTGAGCAGTATTGTGTCTATGTTAGTGAATTATTCTCATTAAGGGTGCTTCTCTGTCCAAGTCCTTGGCTTCATTCCATTCTGAAGGAACTTACTCCACTGTCCTGCTTGCTCAACTAATAAGGATTTCATTATGTTGTCTTAGACATACAGTACAAAATAATTGGTCGTCTCATAAATAATTAGTTAATATCTTTGCATTCCTTCCTGACTGAAAAAGTACAGTTGTCTCCAGAAATCTGCAGACTCTCAGTGCTTGGCAGATACCATGTGAACTTCATAAATATTCTGACTCGCTTTGAGTGATTATTTTTTTAGTGGCTTTTTGTGTTTGTTTTTGTTTTCCCTTTATTAGCACTGCTTTTCTGAGACCAGGGCCTACTGGGTATATTTTCTTCCTATAGAGAGTGCAGGCCCATACAAAACTAATTGTATAGACCCCATATTGCCACTCCAAAAAAGAAGTCCACAAACGAAAGCATCAGACTATAGTGCTGTACGTCTCCATCAAGATGTGAAAGGTGCTACTAATGATGAAGGTAACTGGCCCTCGGTCTTTCAATATTGCCTCTCTTTTTGTTGGTGAATAGGGTACTTTCTATGAAATCCTACTAATCTATCACATTTTGCGATCACTGGATTCAGGTAAAAAATCCTTGCTTTTCTGTCAGTAATAAATTGATTTCTCTTTGGATGGGCAAGCTGAGGGTACAGTCTTTGCACAGAGTTTTTGTTCATCTCCCAATATCCTTGGATGTCTTTAGAAAACTTAATTTTATCTTTCTGAATAAATGCAAAGACTTAACGAGTTCTCACTTTTCTCTCTGGAATTTCACAGGAACATGCCTCAGTTGCGGTAATTATCCTCTGCTGATACATCTATTATGCTCCCTCACAGCATTTTCTAGTCATTATAGTACTTCCTAAATTTCATTTACTTTGTAAATACTTTCGGTTGTCAGAGGGCATTGGGCCAATTCCTATCAGGCAAATTTCGAGCAAGTGAGACACATGAATGCTACAATGCATGGTCAAGTATCTTCCTCTTTCATAGTAGCTCTGTGTGGCTTTTATTGCTAATTTTAATACCAGATCACAAATATCTGACAAAAGGAAAGAAGAGGAAAATACTACTCTTGTGTAGGTTAAGAACCCCTTAAGTACAAGTGACTGTGGCGTTTTGGGACTGACTTTTACTGCAGTAGAAAGTCATAAATAGAAAGAATTCATCTGCAACAATACAGAAGTATGCAAGTACCTCATATCTTACTTTAATCACTATTAGCCGTGTATTTTTCTCTTGAAAAGGACCCTAATACTGACCACATTTCACCAGAATGAATGGATATTTTCTGCCTCTCTCCTTAGTTTAAATATTTCTCTTAGGTCATCTCTTAGGTTCTCCAACCACAGAGAGTAAATTCAAATGCTTAATTT